CCGCACGGCATCCCCACTGCCACCCAAATCTCCGCACGTCCCCCAACGCGGTGGGTCCTCACTGGCGTCCGGCTCTGCACAGCACCTCGGAAACACCCCCACCCCCCACCCCGAGCAGCGCTGACTAAACAAGAGTGAGAGAATCACGGAACTGACCCACGAGGCGACAGAAAATCGCCAGGTCATTTCCTCCGGCGCTACCGCGTGAGCGGACCTCAGCCCTGCCCACACAACCCCGCCCAGCCTGGGTCCCCGGCAGAACCAGCACCTCTAAAGCCAGCACAGCCCTGCTCGGGCGCCGAGGGGCCGTACGGGAGGATCGTCTCCGCTCTCTGATTGGAAGGGATCGGTACAGATCCCCAGACCTTTGCGACGAGGGCGGTCGCAGGCAGATGACTGGCTTGGCTTGGGGCAGATGGATTTTGTAATCAAAGCACAAAGCAGAGACACTTGCTGCTTGGCTCACGGAGGGAGGACAGATTCATTGCTCGGGGGTGCCAGCCTGAGCCCAGACGGCTCCCAGGCGGGTTTTGCGGAAGCTCTGGCTGCACCCCTCTCCCAGAGTCCAGACATCACGGGCCACCTGTTGAGTTAGGAATCAGGGGCCCGAATGGCTGACTGGCAAAGCGCCCAGAGATCCCTAGACTTCAAGAGGGCCCCAATCCCACAGCCACACATCGCAATGTGTTGGCAGAATACCCCCAGCTACCTGAGGCTTCCAAGGTGGTCACCACCTGGTCCCAGCACAGACAGACCCCCCCACTCCCCCCGCATCCGTCTGCTCCAAGAAGCCCAGGCCCTGCCACTTGAGCTAAAGGAGAATCCCCATTAGCCAGCATCAGTAGAGAGCCTATGACACAGTTACCATGTTGCCTATAGCCCTGCCGGGATGTTGCAACATGACCCTCCCCTTGGCAGAGCCGTATCAGAGAAGGGATCAGCAGAGACAGTCGCTGGGGGGGGGGGGGCACAGATGCAAGCCGGGAAAGCCCTGAATTGCCAGTTTCTCCTCATCAGAGTTCAGCTCCGGCCCTTAACCCCAACGAACAAACTGGGCAGGAGGAGGTTAATTCCCGGCCCCCACCTTCTCCTCCCCCACCCTCGGCAGGGCAGGAGTCAGAGCACCACGGCCATGGGGATACTGGGGATACGGACACTAGCTCCGGGCCGGCTGCTCCCCACTGCAGGGCCGGCCCACCCCCACGCCGGGTCACCAGCACAAGGGGCTGATGGCGAAGGATGCCGTCCCCGGGCAGCCCACCAGGCCAGCGAACAGTGGTGCTGCTGTGTCCTGTGTCCCGCACCCAACCATAGACACGCACGCACCTCCCACAGTGCCAGCTCACTGCCTGCCGTTCAGCGTTCAGCCTAGACGTGGGCATCCGTAGGGAACCTGGCAACAGCCTCACTGGGCATATCCCCATTGGATGTCTCATTGCCTCTGCCTCGGCCAATGCCATTTAGTGTGCCAGCGAGTTTGGACAGGCTGGTCACTGCTTGGGTAGGAGGCCTCTGAAAAGCCACCCTGGTGCCAGGGGGCAGCGAGATGCGCCAGCGTCTTGTGCAGCTCCGATAACCTGCACGGGCACACGATCGATCACCTGGCACCAGCCCTCATGCTCTCCATGGGACAGCGCAGCCTGCACGGAGCCGCCACAAGACGAGACCCCCTTGCGTCTCTCGGATCAACACCGCACGCCAGCCGGTCTGGTCGGCCCTCCCACCCCCCGCCCACTCAGGACACACACCACAAAGGGACGGACTGACAGCCCCCAGCGTGGGCCGACTGGATTGCAGCAACGGTTAACGAGCGCTGGTACTTCTGGCTCCCCCTCCCAGCCCTAACAATGGGTTACCAGTGCCCGCTGCCCAAGACTGGCCTGCTACAAACACCCAGCGCAGGCAGGTTCTTAACAACACCTACCACCCACTAGGTGCAGAGACAGGAAGCGACTTGCTCAAGGTCACGGAGCAGCTCAGGCCTCTCGGCTGCGGGACATTGCCCTCCTGTAGCCGGCTGATCTAGTACATTGGGAAGCACCGAGTTCTAGCCCCCCGGCACGGTTCATGTCACGACCATGCACCATTTCCCAGGCACCGATACAAGGAGCCGGGACGTCACTTCAGCGAATTTGCAGATTTGCAGGGAGAGGAACGTCAGGGCACAACAACGGGACCTTTCTAGAGTGAAACAGGACAAACCACCCCCAGCAGACGTTGCACTGAGCCCAGCATTGAGACCTGCACGGTGAAAGGACAGGGAATATTTGTGCCACTGCAGCATGAGGCAGCAATCGGCCGGGATTCAAACAAGTCTGAGGAAGTCCGGATGCCGCTCTGAGTTTTGTGGCTGGCCCCTGTTGCTACTGTAATGAGCTGCCAAGTGTGGACACGGAACACTGCCCTCTATTGGATAGAATTCAAACTCCTCCACTGTGTGTCATAGGCCCAATACTGCTAATTCATGGGGATTCTCCTTTAGCAAAAGTGGCAGGACTCTGGGCTTTGGAAGCAGGTGGATCTGAGTTGCAGCCAGGCGCTTGTGAAATTCTGTGCAAGGGAGGGTCCCAGTTGGCCAGAGATTTGTTACAGAGTAAAGGGCTGGACCTACAACACCCATGTAAACTCGGCCTCAGCTCCGATCTGAACGTCGCAGCCCGGAACCCGGCTCCTCCAGCACTGGAAGGTGCCTGGCATTGGCGCTGACCCTACATGGGCTCCAGTCAAGCCTCAAGCCCCGGCTGCTGCGAGTTAAGTCGCGTGTCCAGCAATTGGAAAGGGGGCTGGCTGGGGGGGTTAACAATGGGAAAATGCCTCCCCGTCACGCTCCCCAAAAGCAAGAGCTAACACGGTTTGCCACAGGAAATATACCAGTCCCCCTGGAGCAGAGTCCTACTCCAGGAAGCTCTGGACCCATTAAGGGCTAGCTGCCCTGGCTTGTAAGGCACCACGGAGCAGACTTTGGGAGGTGCTAAGCACCTATTATAATAGTCAATGGGAGCCGCAGGGACTCAGCACCTCTGGGGGGCAAATCAAGCCCGGCGGTTACTATACAAGGACAAAGCCATAGCTAGGAGAGTCTGCGATTCGGGCCTGCTGGGGGCAGGAGGGAAAAGAGGGGGGGCACTGATGCCTTGTGGGGTGTGGAGGCTGCAGCGGGCTCCTGAATGGCCCTCCAGTGCCATGCTGGGGAGCCTTTCCAAGCGGAGAATGCAGCAGGAAGGCAAATCGGTGCCCCCGCCCGGCCACCCCATGGGGTTACAAGAAGGCCACTTTCCTGGCCCGGGACACCATCGCCACAGAATCGAGTCCATTTCAAAATCAAAGGTCATCTCACGTCCCGACCCACCTAAGCTGCCTCCTCCAGTCACGCCCATCACTGGAGCATCCAAGCCCCCGCCCCAGAGCCCCCTGCCCATGTCTGGGGGGTTTCAATCCCAGGTTCTGATTTTTCTCCCCCATCCTGCTGTGGGACAAGCCCACATGCCGTGTGGGGGGACAGGGAATGGCTGACTCTGCCGGGGACCAGACTCAAGTGCTGTCGGACTCACAGCACGAGCAAAGAAGGAACCTGCCTTCTCATCTCTTTCCGCTGCAGACACCTTGCGTCCTACCTGCAAGGCCAGTCAAGGAAGGACCTGTAGCTAGCACTTTACCCAGCAACCCACCCCTGCACGGCTGGGAAGCAGGATCACCCCCTCACTTTACACCGCAATGGTCCAGCTCTGACACTGGAGCACAGACGCTTCCTACATCAACAGACGGGTTTGTCCATCCATGTAGCTACTCCATCCCGCCGGGAGGTGGTAAGTAGCTCAGTGGAAGAATTCTTCCCTCGTCCTAGCTGCATCTACACAGGGGCTTAGGTTGACCTAACTCCATTGCACAGCACCACAGCTAGGTTATCTAATTTTTAAGCATAGACCTGGCCTGAGACACACAGAGGTTAAGAGACGTGCCTAACAGCCACAGCAAATCAGTAGCAGAGTCAGGCGTAGACCCCCCCAAAGCCCCCCAACGCCCAGCCCTGGGTTTATTTCACCTTATTTTGGGGTTTTCTGACCAGCCCATCACTGGAGCCAGAGAACCCACCAAGCAAAACCTTCAGGGACTCGGGAGAGCTGGATTCAAATCCCAGGTGCGCGCAGCCTCCCGGCTTGACCTGGGGCGAATCACACTGCTGCTCCGTGCCTCAGTTGCCCCCACCCCGTCTTTCTGCCCCCGTTTTCCCTAGTAAATCCTTCGAGGCAGGGCCTGTCTTGGGCAGCACCCAGTACCCTGGGGCCCTTATCTTGGTTGGGGCTGGCTCTAGGCACTAGTCACAATTATACCAACTCCCACTGCCCAAGAGAGATGTGCAACTGGACTGCCCGACGTGTAGGTGTGGGGGTCCAACAGCCATGCTTGGATGCTGGTGTCCATTATACAAGTAGCTCCACACAGGGGTGTAGACACACACACACACACACACAAATACACACTTATGGCCTCTAACTTTCTCAGCTCCCTGGGACTGTCTGCACTGTACAGCGCCTAGCACACGGGGGCTCTGATCCATGACGGGGGCGGAGCACAGGGGCATTGGCAGAGCACGCTGCAGGATCTGGGGACAGTAGAAGATCTAAGCGCCCGCCCCCCTCCTCACCCCGAAGCCAGGAGACCGGGTGGGCTGTGTGTGCCAGAAGGGACAGGAACCTCCCTGGGGGGTGGGGGGCTTACTCCAGATCTGCATCCTGCCTCCCCCCCTCTCTGATCGCGGCCTGCGGAACCCCAGCGCCCTGGGCTCGCCCGGGCCGGAGAGGGAAGTCAGGGCCCGCCGCCGGTCCTTACGCTGCACGTACAGCCCGGGGCAGGGGCACCCGCAGCCGGGACAGGCCCCGCTCGCCCCGGCCCATTGCACCGCCCCCTGCCCCGCTTGTCTCCGGCACAGGCCAGGGGAGTTTAGTGGCTGATCCCCCCCTCCCGCGCCCATCCCCGTGGCGCCCGGGCGGAGGACTCACAGCACGCAGAGGGCGTAGGCGCCCGAGACGCTCTCGCTGTCCCGCACCAAGAAGCTGCCGTCTCGGCCGGCTCTGGCCAGGAGCTCCTCCGCCGCCGCTCGGCTCAGGTCCCGGTGGTACCAGAGCGGTGCCGGGCTGGCGGCCCCCGGGCTGGCGCCGCTCGCCCCGCCGCACGCCATGCCCCTCCCCGGGGCCGGCTCAGCCCAGGGGGGGCCCCGCGCTCAGCTTCCCAAAGGAGGCCAAAAAACAAACCCAGCGAACAAAAGTTCAGCTCGCTCCAGTGCCCCCCAAAGCGCCCCCGCGTCGGAGCTCCCGGGGCAATGGGCAGCGGCAGCCGGGCTCGGGGCTAACATCCCCCCGGGCAGGGAGCCGCCGCTTCCTTCCAGGCGCGCCGCGGGGCCGGGGCCGGGCGCATCGCGGGCGTTGTCCGGGGCCCCCGGGCCGCAGCTGGAGGAGCCGGCGCCGCTGGGGTCCGGCTGCGGGGAGCCCAGGCCGAGGGGTCTCGCCCCGCCGCGTCCTTTGCCCGCGGCTCCTCTGCCGCCGCCCCGCGCGGGGGAGAAAGTTTCCTCCTGCAGAACAAAAGGAGGAGAAGTTGCGAGGAGCCGGAGCAGGGGCTGCGCACGGGCTCCCTCTTCCTCCAGGAAGCCCCCCGCACCAGCGCGCCAGCGACTCTGCGGAGCAAAGGGCGAGGGCTTTCCAACATCACCGAGGGGGGGCCACGCTCCCGGGACAATGGGACATTCAGGGCTGCGGGCAGAAGCCCCACGGGGGGGGGGGGGGGGTTGCTCCTGAGCAAACAGCCGCGCGGTTTTCTCTTCCTTCCCAAAAAAGGAGAAGGGAGGGAGCAGCCTGGGTTTTGCTTCTCCTCCGTGCTGGGGAGCCCGGCGGCAAAGTTTTGCTGGCTCCTGGGACCTCCCTCGCCGTTCACGCCCCCTTGCTGCTAAGTGTCCGTCCAGCCGCTCTCTTCCCCCTTTGCAGGCTGGGCCATGGCCAGTCCCGGCTCTCCTGGCGCGGCTCACCTTCCCCGGACAGCTCCTGCAGGCAGGGCTGGCTCAGAGCCGCGCGCTCTCTTCCTGCGAAATGCAGTCCCTCTCCGCCCTTCGGAGCATGCCTGCTCAGCCTGCGGAGGGAGAGGGCAAACAGAACCACCCAGGCCGAAAAATGTAGCTAGTGGCATAATAAGTAATGAATAAACTTCCTCATGCAGCCTTGCATGACAACTGGTGGCTGCTCTTAAAGGGACAGTGCCTGGGTCTTCGGTTCTTTTACTGGGGGGTTATACAAATGGCTGAAGGGATAATAACCAGCTTTATTTGGGCATCAGCTTTCGTGGGTAAAAACCCCACTTTTTCAGATGCATGGAGTGAAAAATGACAGATACAGGCATACACATATAAACAGACTTCAAAGAGAAACTGCAGAGCCACCATTTATTTGCAAATGTAACACCATTAAATTTGCGCTTGACTAGGGACTGGGAGTGGCTGGCTCACTACAAAACCAATTTTCCCTCTCTTGGTATTGACACCTCCTCATCAATTATTGGGAGTGGACCACATCCACCCTGACCGAATTGGCCTTGTCAACACTGGTTCTCCACTTGTGAGGTAACTCCCTTCTCTTCATGTGTCAGTATATTTATGTCTGTATCTGTAATTTTCACTCCATGCATCTGAAGAAGTGGGTTATTTACCCACAAAAGTTTATATCCAAATAAATCTGTTAGTCTTTAAGGTGCCACCGGACTCCTTGTTGTTTTTGTGGATACAGATTAACACGGCTACCCCCTGATACTTTATGTTTTAGCACAGATCTAGGAGCTCTGTGTAAGCCCCAAATCTGGTCTCTCTCCAATAACAGATATTACCTCCCCCGCCTTATCTCCGTTGTAGCACTGGTCACCTTCCATCAGGAGGGATCCCATTTAAAGGGTTCTATATGCAGCTGCAGCTTATCACCAGGGATCCTAGTTTTCCGTGATAAAAAACAACATTCTCTGATTAAAAAAACAAACAAACATAAAAATCCACGTTTTTCCATGATTAAAAAGAAACGCTGAATTTAGTAGAATCCCATTTATCTGAGCCCCCATTATCCAGCTCTCTGTATTAACAGAACCACCAGCCGCCCGGGTCAGACAGCTCCAGGGCTGGGGCGATCAGCCCCCAGCTGGCTGGGGCTTGGACCGTTACAGCTGGTGGTTCTGTTAATACGGAGAGCCGGATACTGGAGGCTTGGATAAATGGGGTTCTACTCGATATGCTTTTATCTTTTCACAAAATGGAAAAACTAAAAATTCTCTGTAAAAACCTCAAACTCTGGGTTTTTCCGTAGCAAACAGATTTCTAGGATCCCTACTTATCACCCACCAGCCACTGCTTGCAGGACCTTGGGTAAATCACTTAAGCTCTGTCCTTTCATTTCTCCTCTATAAAAGGAAGATAATAGTTCTGGCTTGTCTAGTTAGATTGCAAACTCTTCATAATAGGAACTGTCTTGTACTACATGTTTGTACAGTACACCGCTAGCACAATGGGGCCCTGATCTTGGTTAGAGGCACAAGATGCTGCTAAATAAATAATCTTACTTCATATTTGTTTAGTGCTGACACCGTGCTTGTCACTGTACAAGAGAACTTGGCAGGAAATGGGTTATTTCCTCCCAAGAAAAATGTTGATGACATTTTAGAAATTGGGTTCCCTGAAATTCTGCTTTCCAAATTCCTCAGGATTTTGTTGAAAAGCCAAAAAACCAGCAAATGAAAATAATTTTTTTTTTTAAATGGCTAGTTGGGCAAACATTTGTGGGTTTACTAAACATTTTTGCTCCAGTGGCTGAAATCTTTCAGTTTTACCAAAAAACGACCAACCAAAAAAAAAAAAAGTGGGTTTTTTTCCCCAACAAAAAACAATCCCCACAATTTTTTTGGTCAAAACCAAACATTTCATGGCGAAGTTTCCCTGTGGAGAAAACAGTTATTTTTCTTGGAAAAAATGGTTAGAGCAGAGGTGGGCAAACTACAGCCCGTGGGCCACATCCGGCCCATTGGACCCTCCTGCCCGGCGCGGGAGGCTAGCCCCTGGCCCTTCCCCTGCAGTAGCAGTGAATGAGGCCAAGTCTACACTGTACATGTAGCTGTGTGGGGCAGGGGTCTGATCCCTGACCTAATCTCTAGTGTAGACACAGTTATACTAGCAAAGCTGCACTTTTGCCTCTATAGATTGTTTTGTATGGGGGGGCTGGGGAGGGCTGGACTAATCTCTATCCTCATTAGCTTTGCCAGTATAAGCCGCGTCCACACTAGGGGTACGTCTACGCTGCCGTCAGGAGGTGTGACTGCGTGTACACATACCCGAGCTAGCGTGGAACTAGCTTAGCGTGTGCCCAGGCCACTCAAGCAGGTACCCAGGCCCTGGGCGGCCAGGGCTAGCTCAGGCTACGGCAGCTTCACTGCCAGTGTTACTGCTGTGCTGGGAGCTCGCTAGATCAAAGCTGGCTGGGGGGAGTCTCCACGTGCTGCAGTCACGTCTCTGAGTGCCGGACAGCCCCACCCTAGCAGTGCAGCGGGCCAGCCCGCCCACACCAGCAATGCACGCCCACGCATGGCTTGAAGCGCAGGGTGTGCTGCCCCAGCCTCTGCCGGGCGCTGACCGAGGGCTGAGTGCAGGTCTCCTGCCCGGCCGTGCAGGGCACCACCCTGGCCTACTGGAGACAGTGTCCGAGGGGAGCTGGGTGGCGAAGGGATGTGAGGCCGCCTAAGGGCCCTGACTTGTATCTCTTCATGTCCTCTAGCCACGTCCCCGGGGACAGCAGCCTGCGCACAGCCTTGCAGCATGTAAATGAAGGCCTGGGAGAAAGAGGAAGGCAGAATTTCACAAGCCGCAGCTGCAGGGAGCACTCGAGCGAACCCCAGCTCGGCTGGGGGAGCTGCACAGAGGATTTTAGACGCCAGCTCCAGCCTAAGACCGAGCTAGGCAGCTGCAGCACTGCCGATCTCCTCGCGGGAAAAGGAAGTGGGGTCACTGCGACTTCCTCCGGGCTTTCCGCCTCCCTGGGGCCAAGCGGGGCAGGGGCCTGGTGGGCCTGAACCATGGCTTGGGAAACACGTGTGAGAGCTTGCCAGAGAGAGGCGCTCCCAGGAGGCAGAGGGAGGAATGGAAGCTCCAATAACAAACCGGCGTGGGCCTCCCCAGAGCGACCCTACAATAACGAACCGGTGCATAGAGTCGGGACGGTTCTTGGGGCACCCAGGACTGAGGGTCACCTGGCTACCCCCTGCCCCTAGTGAGAGGGCGCTTGCCCATGGTGGCCGGGTGTCAGCTCCCGAACACCACCGGCCTGTCAGCCACTCAAGCAGTCTCCTCTGGGCTAGGCCAGCCCTGGCTTCGCCTTGCAGGTTAACACTGGGTGCACCCCAGGCCCCGAGTCCTTTTGGATCGTTCCCCTGTGATAGCCAGCCCCTGGCACTGGCTCCTCACAGAAATCCCGCCTCTCCTGCCCCCCAAGGAGCAGTGCACCCCCCAGTTAATCACCCCTCCTGTAAACCGCACAGCACCTGTCAGCAAACAAAGGAAGGTTTGTTTAAGCAAATATAGAGATTCTACTGGAAACAAGCGAGAGCCCTGGAAACAAATGGTTCCCAGACCAACCTGAAACACGACCCTGGGCGTACACTTATCGCTAGTTCCCCTGCCTAGTTAATACAGTAGGTTTCCCCCTCACGGTTCAGTCTGTTGCAGAGCCGGCTGGCTTCACAGGAGCCAGGATCCAATTTTTCATGAGAACACCCCCGCCCCTCAAGAGGTCTCCATCCTTCATGAAAGGATCGGGACCACCCGCCGTGTTATAGTGGAACAGCCTTTGGTCTCTGTTCCTAGGCAGGAAGATCCCCTGTCTCTTGTAATGTCCCATTTTCACCTCCAAGTGGTGCCGAAGGTTTGCAGTTTTCTTTGAGGGTTTCCATTGATAATCTTGGGATGGAGCAAGGCTGGACAACAGAGCCCTGGCATTACATCCCCGTCTTGACTCCCTGCAGCTGGAATGGGCCTTCACAGAAACACACTATCCCCTGGTGATGAACTTCTACTCCACATCCATACAGTGCACTGTCAGTATCAACACATTCTTCCTTCAATATTACCCGGACATACATCTCGCATTGATCATGAGTCTTGATAAG